ACAGAAGAACTCTTCCAGCAAAGCCCCTGAGATTGTGAAATTCTCTGATTCAGTTTATTAGTTTAGCATCCTTCCTACTTTCAGATGCCAAGTGATTCCTGTTATTGGAGGGTGGTGTTTTTATTTTTTGGCTTTTGTTTGTTTAGCCAGCCAGCTAAACTTTTGGGGGGCTGCTTTTTATTTATTTTTTATTTTAATCAGTCTTTATCTTTAATGAAGCTTTTAAAACTGGAGTGGATTTTTTTGCTACCTTTCTTGATAGCCGATGTATACTTTAAAGTAGCTAAAATTACTTTATATAAAAATTGCCCCCCATGTCAGTCATTGCCCCCAAAATAATTTCACATAACTCCAGTGGTGTTCCTCAGTATTTTCACTGACTTTGCAAAAGTTCCTAGAATAATCTTCTTTCACTGACAGCTGCTCAGTTAATATTGGCTTTGAAATCTGTCCTGGAAGTTTGCAAAACAATAAACTGATTAAAATGGCATAGAGGGTTGCTAGTGGGTGAGCATAACATATGACCTAAGCCACTATTTTAAGTTCTAATATAGTTTCTTTGAATATAGAATCTTATATAATACTTTTGATAGCTCAAGTTTCAGGTGAAGTATGTTGTGTTATTTCAACCATTATGACTTTCCTGCTCATATTTTTTTTCCCTTACTTTCCATGAGAAGTGGCAATAACAAAAACACGGAGATATATGGGCATGGGGGAAGAGAGAAAAAAGCAAATATATTGTGTGCATCATGATGATGTCATTCATGCAAATTATGTAATTTACATAAGGGTTATTGTCATGATGCATGTGAAATCGTCAGCCTATGTTATCTCAGACATAAGCTTCACAAAGTCTTCCAATGGATACACATTTATTACTAAACCAAAAGGTGCTTTGTTTCTTTCAAGGTCAACAGTACTAAACTTAATTACTGTAATTAGTAAATCATACCTTGCTTGCGTTACACATGAACCCGGCTATGGTTTGTTGACAAATTCAGTTTTATCAAATTCAAGCACATGTCTACGAAGGGGAATTGCTTTTAGCAATACATTAGCAACTTCGAAGCATGAGAAATTCCATCAAGGCCTAAGAACATACATTGAAAGGGCAATGAGAACCTGAACTCCATTAGGCATCAACTGAGTCATACTTTTGCATCTTTGAAGAAAGACTGCTTTGCTAAATAGTCCTTAAAAGTGACTTGGACACTTCACTCAGCAGAGGCATAAGCATCTAAGCCCCTATGGTGGCAAGTGAACAGTGATATCATGACACATGTGATGTCACTCCCCTTGTCCCACAGAAAGTTATAGCATGTCTAATTTAATGAAAAGAAGGAATGATAGCAGTGTTCCAATATCTCAGGGGCTGCCACAAAGAAGAGGGAGTCAAGCTATTCTCCAAAGCACCTGAGGGCAGGACAAGAAGCATTGGATGGAAACCAATCAAGGAGAGAAGCAACTTAGAACTAAGGAGAAATTTCCTGACAGTTAGAACAATTAATCAGTGGAACAACTTGCCTCCAGAGGTTGTGAATGCTCCAACACTGGAAGTTTTTAAGAAGAGATTGGACAACCATTTGTCTGAAGTGGTATAGGGTTTCCTGCCTAGGCAGGGGGTTGGACTAGAAAACCTCCAAGGTCTCTTCCAACTCTGTTATTCTATTCTATAATCTGTTGCTAAACTCCAGATTCCAGGGATTCATTTGGCTAAATTTGGAGACATTCCACTAGCTATCAATTCATTTTGGAGGACAGTTTCAGAACCTTTGTTATGACCCTCCAACCCTTCCTAGTCTGGCATCTCCTAACTTTAGAGATATCTTTGCCCTACATTAATCCAACTGACATTTTTCTTCCTGAAAGTGGGAGCTACTTGGGATGCCTATACCATGTCAGGGTCTGTGGACCAAACCACAAGACCTTCTTCTGATTGCCTTAGGGTGGCAGATGATGCTCCTCTGTATGATCTGCAGCTGCTCTACTTTTTCAGAGAAGATGCAAAACCATTCTTTTAATTTTTTTAGAAGGTTGCTCAAATAGTATTTCAGCTTTTGGTTATTGGTGACAGTGATTACATGTATCAGTTAGCGGGCTTTAATTATTTTGTGGCTGTTTCTGTAGTGCTGTCTCATTCTTTTGGGTGAACTTTTTTAGGGAGAACAAGAGATGGTCCCTCTTAAAGAGTTTTGTGAACATGAAGACAAGGACAGTATATAAAAATGTGCATTTTTAAATGAAATGATCCAAAGCAAAGAGAATGTTCTAAAAATAAGACACAATGATTGAGAGCAGGAAGAGCTGTCTTAGAAGGACAGGGTGTAGAGAAATGCTTCAAGAGCCAGGGATTCAAAAAATAATTTGGACTCATTGAATGCTGTTTCAAGGCTGCCTGGTCTCTGTGAGGCTTTGGCCAGAATTCCACTCTGTTATGTAGCAGCAACATAAATCAGGAATTAATCTGATTGCAAGCAAGAATTAGGAGCTTAAACTGATCTCTTCCTCTACATGTCACACTGTACCCAGTTGCATTTTTTTGTCCTTAAAAATGGTCTATCTGAAGCAGGCTTAATAGTTTTACAAGTGTCAAAGGAACGGCTTTTGTCCTGTTAAAGAACAGAAATGTTGGAACAAAAATAAAAAGAACATAGCGTTCACTCCACAGAGGACACAGCTATAACTTTACTTAATAGTAGATTCTACTGAGTTCAACAGAACTCACTTTAAAGTAAATATGGATACAATTGTTTAGATGCAACAATAACATTGACTGTGAAATTGAACTGACTTGCAAATAGCATGGACAAGTGAAATCTTGTGATGCAGTTTGAAAATTCATCTTTTACCATCAGTGCTACCCCTTATCCATTCCCCACAAAAAGCCTGTTTTACGAATGAACTGTGAGGCAATCTAAGCTGAGACTGCATGGATTCTTACATGAGATAAATTATCAGCAAATAAAGAAAAACTTTGGCAGTATCCAAACATGGCATAATTCTACATTGATGTGACTGAGTTCTCTAAGTTCCTCACCAATGGGCACTGGACAAGCTCCTTCCCCTTCTCAATTCTCACCTATGAAGTAGAAACAACTTTGCTATAACCAGCCCCTTTACTGCACCAAAAATAATTCCCTGTCTGATAAGGTGGGTGAGGTCTATGGGTGAAATCATGAGTGTGCTTACTCAGCAATATATGCCATTCCACACACTGAAACTTGGTCTCCTATAAAGGGTTGGAAGACTGCGGGTCTTAACATAAGATGTTTTTCCAAAACCTGAGAAGTTTTGAGCTTGCTGCGCTGCAGAGTGGAAACAGGATTCCCGATTCTCTTTTCATCCAGGGAAAACCCCTCCACTCCCATCAGGATGATACGCAAAAGATTGGGAATGTATGCATTGCAGGCAGAGTCAGAAGATGCTCTTGCTATATTCATATTGCTCATTTTGAACAATTCAGACATTGTTCAAAAATCAAGATGAGTTCCCTCCAGAAACCACCCATATGCTTTCAGGACAACAGAGAACCAGGAAACAAATCTCTTTTTCCTTTAAAAAAAAAAAGGGGGGGGGAGAATATGTGGACATCAAAATAATTCTAAGGGACCTATAGGAAAGGGAGGGAGAGGGGTAGCGGGTTGGTTGGTAAGCAAGAGGCAGGGAAGGGGGAAACTTGTTGGGCAGGGAAAGAATAAAACTGTTCTACAACTCTTTAGGGCTGTAGTCCTGGACAAACTCACTTAGGAAAGAAATCTATTAAATACAGTGGAGTTCTCTTCAAATAAGTCTGTTTATTCCAACAGGCAAAGAATGTTCTAATTTCTCAAGCACTTGCTCCAGAATAGATATTTTAACAGCTCACTTCTGCACAAATTTAATCAGAAGAGTTTCACTGGGCCTAGTTTAGGGATGGGGTTGAAATGCAGTGATTTTTCTCATCTTTTTAGCCCAAAAAATTACCCAGCCCAAGAAGGTTTTTTGTTTTTTTTTGCAGGGGGGACCTGAGCTTTGCTCCTTACTTGGAACCCTTTAGATAATTCACACACACACAGGTACTCTCCCCACGCCCCACAACTGGCAGCTGCTACAATGGATTATACGGAGTGAGTGCGATCGGAAGCCCACAACAAGCCTTCAGATATGGCGCACACGCTCTCGGGCTAAACAAATTCGGGGTGGGAGAAAGAAGAGAGGAAGGCTTTGCTTTCAGTGGAAAATCTTTTGTCTCCCATTGTTCCCCCTGCTTTAGCATGCACTGCAGGCTTCACACAGGCGCACACTCTTCCACAGCCAGGCTGGGGAGCCTCGAGAAGAGAGAGAGGGAGGGAGGGGAGCCCCAAGGCCATTCACGGGTAACGGCTTGACTTGAAGAGCATGAGGCGAGAATCTCAGATGCCCAGGCACCGCCGTGGAACGGGACGCCTTCCCGAGTGCTCCTCCCCGAGGGAAAAGCGCAAAAGCCACGGAAGAAAACCAGAGGCGAGAATGCGGGGTAGAGCGGGAAAGGAAGTGCAGTATATAGTCAGGCGCTTAAGAGCTACCTAGTAAAAACTATTCACAGGCGGCGTACTCTAGGACCAAAACGTCCATCACACCCAGGGAGTAAAAGAGCGGCTGGCCGTGCTGGGTTGATGGGACAGTAGTAAGCCAGCTTTGGGAAGCCTAAAAGGAAGCAAGATATAATCCCCTCTGCCGCCCCACAAAAGTAGTGACCGATCTGAGAACCGGGCGGGGGGTGGGGGGTTCCCACTCTCTATTCTTGGACCATCTTTTCCCCCAGAATAAAGTTACCGAACTCTTCTCCTCGGCTGATCCGCTCCAGCCTGCTCGTGAGAACAGGAACAGCCAAAAGATCCGGCACACAAAAAAGCAGGAGACAAACTGCAAATGGGAAAGCGGAAGATGCGGGTGCGGGTTGGGCTATGGAGGAGGGGGGAAGCGCCCAGAGGCCGCAGCGAAAGGCGCAGCCGGAGCCCAGCTGTCCACCGCCTTACCTATGGTGGTGATGACGGTAATGGCGAAGTAAAAGGAGCCGGCGAACTTCCACTGGACGCCGGCCTTGTGGGGCTTCAGCTTCAGCACCACCCCTTCCAGCTCGTAGTAGTTGGCCTCGGAGAGGTTGTACTTGCTCTTCAGCTCCAGCTGCTTCTGCTCCAGCTTAGTCCGGTCGGCCGTCTCCGCCTCGGACTCCAGGGCGTCGAAGACGGCGGCGCCCACCAGCAGGTAGGTGAAGGTGCAGATGATCAGGGCCAGAGTCCGGACGTTTTGCCGCTTCATGGTCCCGCCGAGCTGGGAGAGACGCGGGAGGCGGCGGCGGCGGCGGCGGACGGCTGCTGGGGAGCCCCGCGGGAGGCGGGAGCGGACGCGGCGGCTACTTCTGTTGCTGAAAGAGAGGCGGCGGTTGCCTGGCTCATGGCTGCTGCTCCAGCTCCTGCTGCCGCTGCTGAGGCTCCCGCGGCGGCTGTGCTGGGCAAGGCGGTGCGTTCTGCAGGCAGCACCCGCCGCTCAGCTCCAAAGGGGGAGGGAGAAGGGGAGGGACGGGAGCTGTCCTTTCAGCACCACCTCCATCGCAACCCTGCACCTCCGTCGTCGCTGCCGCCCGCTGCCGTTTCCCTTATAAGGACGACTGGGCTGGCCGGGGAGGCGACCTGAGGCTGGATGGCGAGCTCCTACAGATTCACCTTTGAACTTCCAGCATCCCACTAGGCTCTTGTCTGAGATTTCTTTCTCCCTTCTCAGCTATCCCAGACCTTTCCATAACTAAGCAGGTCCTGGCAAGGAGGCCCCCTAAGTCCTTTTAGCCCTTCACTCTGTCTCCTCTTTTAGCATTGTTGCCTTTTTCTTTCTTTTTTGCTGCTACCTGTCTATCTCTGTCTGCCCAAGACTGCTGCTACTACAACTTGCTTGTCTTACCGGATCTCACCTGTGCCTGTAGTGTGACTGCCCTCCCTAATCAACCTCTAATAATTCCTGCTTCCTGAAAATATTCTTATTCTCACTTATTGCTCTATGATTGAAGCTGTGTCCCCGAAAACCCTACAAAAGATCATTTTCCTTGTTTCCCTCTGGACTGTGAAAGTATCTTGAGTTGACATTAGTATATTGCATATGCCTCCTAGTAAGGGGCAATGTGTTGGCACTAAACTAGACATCCTAGCCTGCATAAAACAGCATGAGTGTGCTTCAACTAAAATTAGACATTGGATGAAGTTATGGCACACTGGCAATAATGTCAATTTGATTGATAGTGCTGCATGTGGCATAGGTGTGCCTGAAATGCCTAACCTGGTCTATAACTCTGCCTTACCAAAAATTATAAAATTGATCTTGATTGATGAAAGCCAATCTTGGTGGGCCCACCTGGTAACATCTATATATTATAAGGAAGATTGAAGCTTGAGACATAAAAAGGCTTTAAGCACCCAAAGTTATTTTGGAATAACTGTCTACAAAATCCAATAAATAAATGAAAATTCAAACATAATCTATTAATGAATGAAATAAAAGGAAAAAATATGTCCTGTGTCTGTGAAACTAAAGAAAAGAGATAGTTCTAAATGAAGATAGTCTGGTTGTGTGAAATAAAGATAATACTTGCAGGAAAAAGAAGGGCTGACTTTAATTATGAATAAAGGACTAAACCATAGGTAAGAAAATATAAAATTGCTGTCATCTAGGTTGTTCAGGGTGTGTATAAAAACAAGAATCCATAGCCTGTTTACAAGTACACTTTACATGTTAGACTTCAGTGAATGGTGACCCTGGAAAAGGCAGAGATGAGTTAGGAGAAAAACTTCAACATTCTGAATGAACACAATCAGAGCTGGTCATCTAGGTAACATGAATGGGTGAGTGGAAACAACACAAAACACAAAAAAGAGCATTTAAAAAAGACAAATTAATGACAATCATGGTTGATGAGTGTACAAATAAAATAAATAAGTCAAACTTAAATCCACTATGTACATATGGTAAAGGAATGGGTGTAAATCTAAAAACATGCTTTTTATGAGAAGAAGTTGAGAAAAATAGAGAGATTTTGAATATGGGATAGACTGTATTTTGGTAGTGTCAAAAGGGGACATGGGAAAGGGGGGGATTAGAATGAAAGTAACATGCCAGCAAAATAAGGAAACATGAGTCATATATGAAAAAGTATTAGATGATAAGTTAGTCTCCCAACATAATGAATGAAAAGAAGACATAGAGAACATAGATGGAAACTATTTAGAACTGAAAAGAATTATGTTACAGAGTGCTAAAGGAATAGATGAAGTATGAGCAATACGAAAAAGAATATTTTGTGGAATAATAAAATCAAATAATAAAGTCAAAGGGGCAGTGGCTGACAGAAAAAATACCTATAACAGGATGATTGCAGTAAAAATATGAAGGTGAGAGAAAGGTATTATTTAATGTCTAGAGAGAGGGAAATCTATTTGCAAAAAGAAATTACAAGAAATGGTTAAGATTAAAAGAGACCAAGAAGGTGCATCATAATATTGATGAAAATAAATATTTATTTGGAAGAGGGCAAACAAAAAGCTTTCAGCAAAGCAAACTGAATTAAAAAGAAAAATGATTAAATTATTTGGGAAGAAACTGAAGCAAGGAAATGATGGAAGGAGTATTTTAGACATTTATATGAGAAATACAGTTATATGTTGATGAATGGAATTGAAATGAACACTCTAAATGTTACTGTCCAAGAAAATTGATGAAAAGGGAATAATGCATGCTGTGAAAATGTGGAAGGATTATAAGGTTGCCTCTGTAGATGGGGTAACTAGAGCAATATTAAAATAACAAAATGGTTTGCTTACAGGAGGTATGTGTACTTAAAATGTGTCTGAGTTAAAACAAGAGATTGAATATGTGATGAATATGAATGAAATAAAACACTAAGCAACCAGTATAAAAGAAGTATGTTTATGTATTTTTTAATTCTATTTTATATATTTTATTAAAATAAAATAAAACAATATTGAGATGGTTTGGACATATGGACAGAATGGATGAAAACTGAATGCAAAACAAATAAAGAATGAATGAATGGACTGAAAGGAAAAGGAAAATAGAAATATTGGATAGAGTTAATGAGCTGATTAAACATAGATTTTTATCGTGGAGATATTGAAAGACTTGAAAGACCAGATTAGGGACAGATGGTCATGGGGAAAATCTATGTGGTCGCTAAGAGCTAGCAGTGACTTAAAGGTTCATAATTGATCAATTATTCAAACTAGATTTAGAAAACAAGAATGTAAAGCAACGATAAGACGTATGCAAAGACAGAAAAGTATGGAGAGAGAGATAATGGTATATGTGTGGGACCAGGATGATACAGATCTCAGGAAAGGTGCCTGTACATCAATTCCATTTGGTTTTCATTCCAATTGAATGAATGAAGGCATTTAGAAAAAGTTTCACTATTAAAATGCTTTTCATTGCAAAAAGGGACCACCTGTCACCTTCCAATTTACAACCATTTTTATCCTAATTCTAATATTTCTAAAGTTTACTTTAATCTTCTAAACTCTGGTTTATTTTCTTTAACCTTATTCTATCTTCTGCTTTACTGTTCTTCCCAAGCTGACTTTTATTATTCATGCTAGATTCAGCTCTATCATGAGACCCCAGTCCTACACATCACTAAGTACTTTTCTCTTGGCTACTTGGCACTCCTAAGGGTAGGGGATGTAGGAGCTGTGATGGGGTAGTGATTAGAATACAGTATTGCAGGCTAACTCTACCCACTGCCAGGATTTTCATCCTTACTGGCTCAAGGTTGACTCAACCTTCCATTTTTCCAAGGTTGGTAAAATGAGGACCCACACTGTTGGCGGCAATATGTTGACTCTATCAAATGCTTAGAGAATGCAATAAAGCACTGTAAAGTATATACTGTAGTCTAAATGCTATTGCTAAGCTAACCATTTTCCTCTGTCTTCCTTCTTCTTCTATGCTAGTTAGATTCTTTAGGAGAGGGGTGTCCAACCTTGGCAACTTTAAGACTTGTGGACTTCAACTCCCAGAATTCCTCAGCCAGCAAAGCTTTGCTGGCTGAGGAATTCTGG